AATTTGTTTATAGATAAGAGATGAGTTATGGGAAGAAAATATATTTTGTGATAGTATCAGAGGAGGTGATAAGTTACTGAAATTGTACTTGTGATGAAGGAGGAAGTCATTTATATATCTCTTTTTTCTTTATATTTTTTTTTAATCTTTTTTTCTCTGCACTTTTTTTTTTTACTCTTTTATATTTTTCTTAATTTGTATTAGTTTTTTTATTTTTGTATCTTTAAGCTTTAATAAAAATTATTTTGAAAAGTAGTTCTTTGGGTTATACCAAGTCTTCTAGGGTCGTTACTGACATGTATGAATGTTTCCACTTTTAAAAAATTGTATTGTCTGATGTAAAAGTAATCCTGGGATACTCTTGAATTATCAGAAGTTTTGTTTGAATTTTCACACCAGTTCTTCATAATGTAAAAATGGAGCAGTAAAGTTATCTCTGCTGAGGAGTATTAACCATGTCAAAAATTCAAGTCAACTGAATGGACATACAGTATAGACAGAAAAAGCCATATATAAGCGTAGCCTCACACTTTGTGGTTACTAGTTTGAAGTGCTGATACTGTGAATTATGTATTAAAAACAGCAGCCCTCAAACACACATACAACCTCCAAAATCAGAATATGTGTAATGTGCTTATTTTCAGCTCTCTGCACTATTACAACCAAGATCTATCCAAAGCTGCACATCCCATCTCTCAGACTCAAGGCGGCCATTGTTTAGAGATGTTGCTTTCTTCACATTCTGAGAAAAGCATATCTGTACTGTTAGTATAATTTGTGGAACATAGAAGTGGAGTTAGGAAAGTGAGGGGATCCAGACTTGCACATTAACTTGATGTCAGAATGGCAAAAAATTTGAAAGCCTGGCTCCACTTATGAAAGGCAAGGATACAGCAAGGATTAATCCCCTTTTGATACTTCCTTCAGAACCATCCCAAACTCTCATTCCCAATATTGAATTTACTGGCTGAATGAGGCCTGTTCTTGTAACCAGTGACCGAGTTGCTTGCTACATTAGCTGATTCAGAGTGGCCCTGTGAAATGCCTCTTGTGATGACACACTGCCACAATCAAGATAGTGGTTTAGGAAACACTGCTAGCTCACTGGTTTCATCCTGCCTTGTCAGCCTTTTCACTCTCTGGGTAGATAAAGAATGGCTCGTCTTCTCTCTCTTCAGCAGAAATGATGGCAGGAATGACAGCTTGGATAGGGGCTTAAAGTTTCCTTAGCCCAATACCTTCCAGATCTGCTTGGATTACGACCCCCACAACCCTCAGCCAACAATCATAGGAATGATGGGAACTGTAGTCCCATCTGAGAGCACCAGTGAAAAGCCTTGGTGAAAGAAACCATGCAACCTCTCCTAGGTCAGTTTTTCCAAAAGATTAAGCTAGATCAGTCTTCCCAAAGTAGGTGTCTGTAATTCCCAGTCAGCCTGGCCAATCCAGGTAAGAATGAGAGGAACTGAAGTTCTTCAGTATACTTCAGCACTAAAATGAAGAAAATTGGTCTGAGAGAGGCAGAAATTTCTGAAACTGCTCTTAACTGAGAAGACGTAGATCTGGGATTTTGTTTTTGTTATATCCAAAGCAGAATTGGAGATTA